TAGATAGATAGATAGATAGATTTGCACAAATGCTTACTTTGCCAAAGTTGTTCTTGTTTTATCATGTTGATGGATCAACAATGAGTCATTAAACATTTGGATCAGCTTAAATTAATAGAGCTAAAGCAGAACTGTGGTTAAAATCACCTCTTAAGTTCCACAATTTCTTGTTCCGACAGAGCAAAAAGCCCAGAAAGATCTGGTAAAAAAAAGATTAAAAAAAAAAAGGAGTTTGTTTCTCTACACCTAATCAAAAGATGAGAGAATCTGCATTAAACCCAACACATTGCACCCAATCCTGTTTAAAAAAAGAAAAATTGATCTTTAGTTAACCTTCAACTCTGAACAAAGGAATGATTCAAACGTATCTTTTAACAACTATGAATCAATATGATCTTCATGCTGATGATAAATGTTGCCCACTATATTCATGCGGATCAAACCATACTTCTGGGACTTTGATGACCAAGCAGCTCTCTCTATTACCCGACAGACGGCCGTGACCAAACTAAGATAATAAGTCTCCCCTAAACCTGAGCTATCAGCTGCCAACAGTCCATTTATTGAACACACAGCTGTCTCATCACCTTGAAACAAAGTTAAACATTTAATTAATTTATTTGTTGGTATTTCTGTATAGTTGCAAGGAAAGTTTTTTTTTAATGATGCTCTAGAAAGAGTGGGAACATAGGAGATAGGATGATTTGTTTTGGTTCTAAGTTTATTTTCTAACCACAAATAAATAGTTTATAATCCATGAAACCTCTCATACACTGTATTTTTTAAATGCAATAGAAGACACACTGATATCAGCTCTATTCAGGCTTTTATTCTCCTTTATCTGGATTTTAAGTGTGAGTAAATCTGGAGCATTAGCTTGATTTTTCTCATGTCAGACCAAAACAATTCCCGTCTGCCAACAGTTACTGAGTTATTTTAGAGAAGCAGGTATCTGCCAGGAGTTTCTCTGTTTCCAAATGTTCTCTGGATTCCCAGCATGTGTGACTCGTCCAGAAGCTGAGATCCCTGTAGAGCTTGTTTTTGCATTTTGTGAAGTGGCAAGAAGAGGACAGAGATTTAAAAATGTTTCCCAATACAATCAGCAAAAATGTGTGCATTTTTATTTCAGCCATGCTTACTAAAAAAAAAAAAAAAGATTTTTAGGCCTTGCACATCGAGATGGGAATAATGGATAATTTTTGTTTCCAAAGTAGCTCAGTCAGATTTTATCCCTCCCATCTTTTGCAGCATCGAACAGGGTGTCCTACCAGGACTGCTCTATATTTAGCCCAATCAGCTTTAAATAGCAGCATCTCGGCCAAAGAGTCAGACTTTTTGATTTCTGAAATTTTTCCTTTTTTTTTTTTTTTTGTTGTTTGCTTGTTTAACAACGGCTTTCTTCAACAGTTTATTCCACCTGAGCTGTGAATCTGTGCAGCTCCTCCAGGGTTAAGACCTGTATGGCTAGGCAGATATCAAACAGGAGGACAGTATTCGCTGTTTAAATCACTGAAGGTAGCTGGTTGGGCTGGATTTCTCAGAATGAGAAGGTTTGCATATTAACTCACATTACACTTCTCTTTTCTCTTTTTTTCTTTATATATAAATAATTTTAAAAGTGATATATCATTCTCCTTCCACTTACCGATAATTCACTACTTTGTCTCAGTCTAATTAAGTCCCATAAAAGACATCACAGTCTGTTAACGTAACGTGTCAAAATGGGATCTAATTTTGTAATTCTAATTTTCTAAGAGATTCCAGGCGAAGGCAGTGTTCATTATAGCAAAGAAAAAGAGACACCTCAGCTGGAGAGAGAAGCTGTGAAACTCACGCACCACCAAAGATGGCGGGGAATAACTTAGCTAAGCCATGTAGTAAAATAGATAAAGGAGGAGCAAAAAGGAACATCTGAGTAATTCTGTTTTAAGAAAGAGGGAGAAAAACAAAAGCTATTTGCAACTTTCCTCAGGCAGAAGCAGAACAGCAATACGCAAAATTGTTCCTTTATCTCTGTATGTTTCTGTGCTTCGCAGAGAGAAAGAGAGAACACTGACACATAATGAGGCGCCAAAAAAAAAAAGGCTGCATTGTATTAAGAGCTAAATAATAAAAACAACAGCAGTGGTGACTTGAGGCAGGGAAATCCAATTACAGCAGTGGTTACTTCCTCTACCAGAGCCAGGAGGGACAAACTCTCACATTCGCCTTTTCACCAAATCTCAAACTGAAGTACAGAGTCACCTTTAGTCCTTTTACAGTAGAGGAGCTCAGAAGCATTTAGTGTTAGGAGGATGATGATTATAATGCTTCTATGAAAGATTAGAGGCATCATGTGTGGATTTTAAACTGGATGATAAATCTATCTATCTATCTATCTATCTATCTATCTATCTATCTATCTATCTATCTATCTATCTATCTATCTATTAATATATCTGTTTATGTAGTCCTCATTTGCTACTTTAAAATTCAGTGGAGCTTGATGAAGTTTTGAGCAGCACATATAATGTTAACCCAGTTTCAGTATGAACAGTACCTCTGATATAAACGCATCTGCTAGTTTTTCTTAGTGATTGGTGATTCCTTGCATTTTCTTCTCAGGATATATATATATATATATATATATATATATATATATATATATATATATAAAAATCTGTGACCTTTCTTGTTATACATATTCTGCATTAGAAGTGATGATGATGATTTTTTCTGGATATTACAAAAAAGGAACTAGAAAAGCACTTGGAGAGAGCAGATCTATCTATCTATCTATCTAGTCCTCATTTGTGGAGCTTGATTAATCTATCTGATGATCTATCCATCTATTCCTTCTCCAAGCTTGGACTGCTATTTCACATTATCCTTCCCTTAACTCCTAAAACTGAGCATCCTAATGCTCCCTTGCTGAAGCATGGTGGACACAGATGCCTCCTTTAATCCCCTTGTATCACGTTGCCATCTGACATATTTTCTCTCTCCTGAACAGGCCTGGTAGGCTGCTGATGCTATTACCTGCTGCACATAGAAACCACCCACTCACCTGCTATTCAGCAGCATTTCTAAAAAGTGTTATGTAAATATTACCATTGGCTGTCCCAAAGGCTAAACAGAAAACGAATTAGTTTCGTCGGAATTTGAAGTTTTATAGATTATTATAGTTGTTTTTTTTCTAATGTGCTGTGAAATAACACTGACGCACTACAACATGGGATGCTAAAGAAGTAGTATGGATATCTGTGTGATGCTGTGGTCGCTGGTGATGAGCTCTGATTCAACATGAACACCTGCAAGAAGTAAAAATAAAACTAAATGTCTCACCTGGTGAACATATGCCCTCCGAAGAGAAGCACAGCAAAACTGGAGAGCAGGAAAGTTAGGATCTCCATTCCAAACCTCCTTAGAATAAACACCAATCTATTTAAATTTAAAAAGAAAAAAAACTTCCCCTCGTTGGAAGCCGATGAGTTCAGTTTCAAGAAAGTGTTGTTTTATTTCAGTGCGCATTCATCGTTATCCAGCGCAGCGGAGAACAAAGTAAAGTCTAAAGCCGCTGCTGCTGATGGTGATGATGAGGATGAGGATGATGCCGCTGCTGCCGATGGCGATGATGCTGAGGTGGACCCCATCATGGAATCCCCCCTTCCTTGATCCTCCGAGTCCTGGAGCGCACCGAAGCAGAGCGCACCTGAGAAATAAAGGAAGATCCCGGTCAGAGCGCACTGGAGAGCCGATCCACCGCCGCTGCTGCCGCCTGTCATCCAGAGAGGAGGGAGCGAGAATGAGAGAGGGATGGAAAGAGAGGCAGAGAGAGAGAGATAGAGGGAGGGAGGGAAACTCACTAATCTGTAGATCCCTTCTTGCTTTGGTTGCTGAACTTTACAGATGGGTTGGAGGGCGCAAGGAGGGCAGGTCATCACCGGGACCCTCTATGATGAAAATGTTAAAAATAAAATGGAAAACATTGCATTTCAGCTTATATTGATTAAAAAGGAGGAACCCCGTTTTTTAACACCGAAAAACTGGTTTCAAAGTACAGATTTCTGAAAATAAGATGATCTGCTAAGGAATGCCCTTAAAATAAAAGAATTAGCAGATTTGGGTTGGGATTGCCTGGAAGCCATGGGTATGAGAGGAACATATGGATGTGGAGGCTTGGAATGGATATGACTGGCTGGTTGGCTACCTGTCGATGGGGGCCGGTTTTTCTCTCCTTGGGGTGGGCCTGGGGTGATGTTTGGTGCTGGTCCTAGGCTGAACTGCTGGGTGGGACTGGGAATCTCCTCCTGGGTCTGTGGTCCTGTCCCCCCTAAAGGGATTCACCCTCAATGTCACAGTCTTAGTTCTGTTATGTTTTATTTTGTGTATTTTGTTTCACTTTGTTCCATGTTTTCTAGTTTTAGTGGTTTAATTCTTATTTTGTTGTGTTTTCTGGATATTTTCAGTTATCAGGTTTTTATTTGTTGCCCTCTGCTGCCCTCTTGTGTTTTCCCTTTTCCCTAGCTCCTTTCCTGTTCTGCTCTGTTCACACCTGCTCCCAATCTGCTCGTTAGTCCTCTATTTGTTTCAGTCTCCCATAAATACACTCTCTGTTCAGTTCCTCAGTGCTGGTTTCTCGTCTAACTTCCTCCAACTCCATCTCTATGATCTTCCTCCTCGTGATAGTTTCCCCCCCCCCTGTCGTCATGGTTTCTGGTTTGTTTGACTTGGTTTTCATGTTTGATTTTTTGGATTTTGGATTCCTGCCTCAGTTGTTTGTTTATTCTTCATTAAATCATCAAGAAACTCACCTCTGCCTCCCTGTCTCTTCATTTGGGTCCACAAACCTCAACCCAATCTCAACACTCAAACCGGGGATGACAGTGTATGTATTAGGAGTGTGAGAATATGTTTAGTGTGTGCCTCTGTGTGCGTCTCCGTTGAGTGCTTGTATATATCCATATGGTTGTATGGGTGTGATTGTGACTGGATATATGTGAAGTTGTTTCTGTCTAATTGTCTTATGTGGGGCTTGCAATGCCTCTTTTCCTATCCGGGGCTCTGTAGGGCGAGACTGGGGCCGCCCACACCTGCTATTAAGCATACTTTGCTTCTGAAGAAGCTTTGTAAATCCTTTATACAAAGGATAGCCATGCTTACATACCACAGGAGTTTGGCTCAAAGTTTTCAAGGATGCATGCTTATACTAAATACTAAGCTGCAGCTACCACCCTGATTAATATTGTATAATCACTGTAGGTTTTGACTTCGACACACATGGATATTTAAGGGATATGAACTGCTCTTGAAGCTTCTTTACATTTACTTTTTCTGTTGTCTTCTTTTTGCTGTAATGCTTTCTGTTTTTTGTTTTTCTTTCTCTTGTCTGTTACAGGTATGGAAGCAGATTTCTAGGAGTTGCTGTATATCTTCTGTTGCTTTCTATTTTTGCTGTTACTGGTTTATTTTTGAATCTTTTCACGGGTTCTTTCCTGCCTCACTCTCTTTGTCTCTCCCCTTAGTTCATATCCCCTCTTTCTTTCTCACCTCTCTGTGTCTGTTGGATACGATTTTACTCGCTAAATAATTTTCAATAAAGTTTATTATACAAGTATCAAGTGGAACCTTATGTGAACAATCATAATGGTCTGCTTGTGAAAGCAAAGCTGCTGGGCTATCATATAACTCTGAGACATTTATACCCAGAGTTTCTTTAACAAAACAGGACAAAAAAATAAAAATAAATAAATAAAATGATTAGATATTATGCTCGTGTATTTGTTGGGCTTTTTTTTCTAAGTATTAATACTCTAGTTCAAATGGAAAAATTAAGGGAAAATAAGAATTTTAAGAATAATTGACGTATTTATATTTCAGTGTTTTCAGTGTTTCAAACAAAAACCAGAGTGCCATAATTCGTAGGGATCTTATTCTGAATATTTTAAAATATCTCTATTAAAGTCTTCTAAAACACCACAGTTTTTATGATAAAAAATCTCCATACTGCCATGAAATCTAAACGTTCCAGCCCCCTGCAGAGACGCAGGCATCTCACAGCATCATGGATCCCTCACTGTACTTTACAGTTGACCTAAGGTGCATCATGCATTCATGTCAAACACTGCTGGAGAATTTGATCCTGAAAAGGCAAATCTGATCAAAACACCTTTGCACAGTTTCAGTTAAAATCCCAGCAGAGTTTACCAAACAGGGCATGTTTATGTTTGTGATGGTGTAGAGAAAATAATCTCTCTTGCCATTCGTCTTAAACAACCTGCTGCCATTAATAGCAGTTGTTATGGAAACCAAGTCACTATTTGCTGCAGTTCTCTAACAGTGAACTGTGTAAATGTGTAGATCCATCCTACAAATTTACCAAAAGCTATCATTTTTTAACATGGGATTAATTTTTTTCGCCTGGTAAATATTTTAATGCACATTTTTTCATCTATATTTAGTTTGAAAATGTGCTGATGCTATGCTTTTAGCTACATTATGGCAACTTGTATCCTGCCTAAAAATCCATCTACGATTGTTGGAAATAGGCTCCAAATCGATGTCATTTTAACCCACATTTTGAAAACTTGTGTCATCTTAGAACAAAATAACTTTAATAGCTTATCTTAGGTTACTAATTTTGGTTTACAAGGGATGTGCATTTTTTTTAAGTGTTCACAAACTATGATTCTTTTTTCGACTCAATAAGATCATCTGCTGTTCTCTGGAGCAGGCCCTTGTTTTTATATTGCGTGATTCCTCAGTGTTACATGATTAATTTCTAAAGCCCCTAAACATCAGTCCTGACAGACAGTATTAAAAAAAGCTGATCAAAGACCCTACTTTTAAGAGATTAAGGGTAGTCTCAGAGGAAGTGATCAAAGATTAAATGTCAGTACAGAGAGAGAGAAACTCCAGACAATAATAACAGAAATCGTATTAAAAGATGAGGGAGGTTTGGATCATGCATGCGCTGTGTTTTGAAGCTGGAGATATTCACGACGCAATGTTGCAAATTCTTTCTCTTTGCCCTATTTCTGTCTTCTGCAATCAGATATCTAAAGAAAGGCAATTTCAACATGGTAAAAGTGTGTAATGTTAAAAATGGTGTACAAAAACACTCACCAACCTGCGGCAATAAATGCTAGAAGGAAACGTGCTCATATAAATGATGCAAGAGTTCAATTCAATTCCTTTCAGTTTATTTATATAGCGCCAATTCACAACACATGTCATCTCAAGGCAGTTTACAATTTGGTCATATTGGTTCGAAATCTTTTGTTGATTAAAACCAGTTGATTGCATCAACTCATGGACTAGAATGCAATCCCTCAGAGGAAGCATGCTTTTGGGGAAAGTGGAGAGGAAAAACTCCCTTTTAACAGGAAGAAACCTCCAGCAGAACCAGGCTCAGTGTGAGCGGCCATCTGCCGAGGCCGACT